AATACGCAAAAAAACAAAAACAATAGAGCAAAATGCTGAAAAGAATGAAAAGAGCACGCGGGCATTAAAAATTTGAAAGTGTTGAATACTTCGTGGAACTCATTCAATAAGTAGTTACTTAAAACATTTCTCAAGGTCAATTAATTAAAGATGAATAGTTTGTTGCTATTTAAAATGAGTGAGGCTTTGAAATAAACAGTGACCTTGAGTGAATTTGATACGATACCGATTGAGTTTGCAGCTCTGCAAGATTGATTCCATTTTTACAGAACATTTTGGCATGAACGGATTCAATTCATTCAGTTTGCAGTAACATTCGATAAGCAATATGAATTCTGACAATGAGGAAATTTTCTTTTATAAGATGTTGCAAAATCGAAGAGGATCATTTGTTGATCACAGCGCTTGAGATTGGAAATGAAGTCTGAACACCGCAAAAATGATTTGATTCATGTATTGTTTTGGCTGGCACAAAAAGTGAATGCGTTTTTTTGCTTGTGGCATCTGAAAGAACTCACAGAACCAAGGATATTAGCGAGAAATTTCGTCAAATCTAATTTTGTATATAAACTAACAGATAATGAAATTATTTTTCACGGGAATACTAATGAAATCATAATACGGATTAATATATGATCAAAAAATATTCACAACCAGTGGAATGAAATTCATTTCTTCCCGTATATATCCTCGTGGCAGTACGGTCGATTTCCTTGTGAGTCGAATGATAACACAACTGAGAGAAATTCTTTTATATGACGAAAAATGCAATGCATTTTGATAAGTGGTGGTGACTACTGACAATTCAATGAGAATGACTCGTGAATAGACCGATCACCATTCTTCTCGCAATCAACAACGCTCCGTTTGAATGGAAAACACGAAACATTTGTCGATTCATTAAAATCTTTTCATACCGCAGAGAAACGTTTTCGGAAAATTCTCAAAGCATTACTCAAAAATTTCCTTCCTCTTAGAACTTTTGAGAGGAGTATACATTGGAGTTAATAGATGTGAATCTTTCACGAAGTGATCGGAAATAGTCTTTAAGGGTGTTTTTAGAATACGACAATATCCACATTTACAACATAAAATACGATTAATAAAGGCTTGATCAGTGGTGACAGCAGTTGGAATGTCGGCTTCATCATGCATTTCCAGACCAAAACCATCAATACTTCAGGGGGTCGATGAAAATAAAAGCAATTCCCAGACTACGAGTGGAACATTGCACACCCTGGATTTTATATTCTCCCGCTCACTTCAGGCTCGAGATCATACTAGAAATTGGGCCTAAAGAAATGTAAAATACACTTGTAAGCAGTGTTAAATACGCAGACGGTTTATTGAATGCTCAAAATGAACAGAGAGGAACCGAAAAATGTGAATCATCCAGTTACAAAGAGGCACACCATTCATATTTACGGTCCGGCAGAGCGATGTGTTCAAGAATTTGAGTTCACCATCTTTAGACGTCTTTTACAAACATCAGAATGAAACATTTGTGTGGAGGAACGCTTTTGACGCTTGCCGTTAAATTAAAGTTGGAAATAATGAATACTTGAAGAGGAATTCATTGCAGTGAAAACAGACTTTTGCAAATAAGTGACCACAAATTAATTTGTTGTTTTTTGAATTGCTTTGAAAATGCATTAATGTGCTATTCCGAGAGGAAATTCATTAAGTTAATTTCGTAACTTTTAACAGAAGTTCCGTCCAACTTCATTCGAATAATTCGTTTCAGTCCTTCTTTTGAGCATAAACGATGTTTCATTTTTCTCATCACGATACACATGTTTCAATCATCGACGGTTTATTGAATGCTCAAAATGAGTAGAGAGGATGACGTTACAACAAACCAAGTGCAAACAAAACTATTTACGAAAAAATTCAATTTTTCAGAGGTGAAATTTGAAAGGAAAAGATCATTCGTTGTAAGAGAAATATTCATTGTAATTGGCTAACGAACTGAAAACGCTCACTGAAAAAAAANAAAAAAAAGCGAATTGATTTCATATCGAAAGTGTAACTCATAATTGTTTTTAAAAAATCATTGATACATAAAACAGCCAACATCCTTGAATGAGAGCGGAACCAACGAGATCATTCGAATATTGTTTATTAGTCGTATTGTGTGCACAGTCACACACCATCAAAATTATAAGATTTTACCAGAAAAGTTAAAGAGTTCGGTTTTTAAAAAGCTCATCTTGAGAGAGTCGAGAAACCTGAAATCTGCGGCAATTTGACTTCTCTAAAGTATCCGATAGACCAGTGATTCCCGCAAGCTGAAATTTCCGTCTAGGAGAATAACAGGAAGTGAGGGAAAACTAAGGAGGTTGGTAAGCCAATTTTGACTGATTTATCAAACTTTTTTCATAATTGTTCAATAATATTTCAGAATGCCTATTCGATTACAATGGAGTAGCTCCTTTGATGCCACTAACGAATTCTTGGAAACAAACTCTTTAACCACTGAATCAATTTTTCGATTTTCGTTTGATTTGTCGCTTATAGAGAACAGATTTTTGGACAAGCAGAGTGGACAGAGGTCACTCAGATTGCTGTACAGGGAATAGTGGACAGTCACAAGTTTAAAGTGGATCATTGGACGCGAAGACCTAAGAAACATCGTAACAGACAGCATCAGTGGAGCATTTGATCTATAAATCAAGTACGAACCAAATGCAATGTATTACAATTTGAAATAAATCAAGTGATCATTGAAAACTCACGCTTTGAAAAAACTTACACGTTTGAATCAGATCAATCAAAGTGATAAACAGTGGCAACAATAATTACAAACTAACAATTTGTATAAAAATCTTAGAAGGTACAATAAGAAAATCACGTAAACCTTCACATATCAACAGTTCACGTAAATTTTTCATAGTTGAAGGCACTGACATGCGACACGGATGGCTTCACCTGAAGAGATAAATACAAATTTTAGATAACATTAATTCAAGAAATTGGATGCGATCCGAACTGATAACCTCAGATTGACTATATTCAGGTTTAAATGGAGGATTCGGCATGGTGCTTTAACGAATAAGAAAATATGCCAAAACGATTGATTGATCTATCACACGGAAAAACCAGTTACACATCCACTTGAAGCATGTACTAACAACGCATATACACATCGTCCACATTCCTTCTTACAAACACGTATTTTGTCCCAACCATAAGACCGTTCTCGCCAGGATTACTACTCATCATCAATGCTTACTTTTATTTCTCTGAGTTTTGTTGTTCTTGTTACAGTTTACAAGCTTACCACCATACCAGCTCACTGAGCAAACAAATACTTGAAATATTTTGGTTGCAAGCATAAAATTTTGAGGCGCTAGAACAATAGAAACAATCTGATCTTTCTGCGGCAAGATTCAACTATTAACAAATGCACTAAGTCCAGATGCTTCTTTATGATAAGAAATTTCTTTTATTCCTTCAGTAGTACTTATTACTGCAAACACTTCTTTAACAGTTTCAATTTCAGTTATTCCTTTCCCAAATTCCGAGTTCCAAATTCCTTCTCTTGATGAAAGCTTGCTTCAATTTTCTACGGCTTTCAGTTCTGAGGGCATTATGATCAGAAGGTGAGACGAGGTGGCTATTTCAAAAAGTATCGCCAAATTGGCAAAACTATTGAATGATTGTATTCGCTCTTATCCAAAATGAAGATCCCAGTAATGTGATGGATCAAAAAAAGTGAATTATATGTTTGCATCGAATGTCAAATCATCACCAACGATATACCTCGTTCAATGCAGCGCGCACATCCTCGTTACAAACGATCACTTCACCGCATTCATTCGGCTTTTCTAATCCGCCTTCAATCCGTTCAACATGCGTTCGGATTGCATGCATTGTTGCACGCGAAATCAACGCATACAGATCAGCGCCTGACATTCGTTCATGACACTTCTTAGCCTGAAAGCAAATATATCCTGTTTTAGGCCGAATTCTCTTGCTTTCTTATTTGGATGGAGATTGTATCACATCCAAGAAAGCACACAAACTTTATCATACCAAAAATCGCTCAGTCAAGTGATATTTGGATCAAAATTAAAGCAAACAATAGAAATATACTAAAATGAACTGATGCAATACAATTTCGGCGAGATCCACATCGTCAGTGAACTTCATATTGCGACTGACCGCGCGTAAGACGTTCTCTTTACTCTTTGCATCTTTGTTAACGTCAACTCGTATCATCTTATCAAACCTGCCAAATTTAAAATCCTAAGAATGATCTAAATTTCTGGATTATAATTTTATCCGCTCGAATCGACTGAAACACAGTCAGCGTTAAGCGATTCAGAATTCCTCGCAATTAAGAATATTAAGAATTTTAGAGGATAGGACAGCTGTCGCCCACTGATTGTAAGAGTTGAAAATGTTAAAAAATCGCTCGTTAAATTCGTAACTTATTGCTGCAAAAATAGATTTTCTGAATCACACCTAACAGTGAAAGGCTAAATAAACCTTCCGGGTGTTAGTAGCGAAGGATCGAGTAGGTCAGGTCGATTCGTAGCACCCATGACGAATATTTTTGAATCACCCAACGAGTCGAGTTCAGCCAACAACTGCGACACAATTCTGCAAATGAAAAACAATTGAAATATAAAAATGTCGATAATTTATCGACAATCGAAACTGCATCCAAGTTATCTATCAATGCTCATTGTGAGATACAAAAATCAGTGACTAAAAACTTCCGAATCATAAGCTTCTTTTTCCACTAGAGACTCCTCACTCTAAATGCTAGCTTTTCCACGTTTCACAGTCAAGAAAAAAACGATCCCTAAAGTGACCAAATATTCGGGAATGCAATCAAACAAATGATTCAAGTTACTTCAAATGACCATACCTATCAGCTACACCGGCCGAATCGCCAGATCGTCCGCGCTGGGGCGCTAAAGAATCTAATTCATCGAAAAAGACGACACACGGAGCGGCCAGTCGTGCTCGTTCGAATACTGCAAACGAATTCAGATTCAGCGATCTCAATAGAAATACAATCGTCATTGGTGTTCGTTACCGTTTGACATTCAAAAATCCAAATTATCTCAAAAACTGGGAATAACAACGTTAGTGACTCGCTAGGAGAACTTATTTGATGATGTCAACAAAGTACTACGACAGCAGAACTCATCGAACGAAAACGAAAATGTTACCGTTTCTAACATTATATTCAGACTGTCCAACGTATTTGTTCAGTAGCTCGGGTCCTTTGACGCTCAAAAAGGTTACTTTGAACTGACTTGCGACAGCTGAAATAGGGTATTTTTTACGGGAATATTTCACCGTCAAAATAATTATGCTTGTTGGTTGGTGAATATGTGAAATTATGCACACGCAACAGTAGTTTTTAGGTTAATAGACCAAACACTTAGTTTAGCAGTTTGAAGCTTGCTGATTAATAGAAATTGAAATAGAAAACAATGCTATACCCTTCGCAATGAGTGTTTTACCACATCCCGGTGGTCCATACAGTATCACTCCTGAGCGTTTCAGGCCTTTGCCGCCTTTCAGATTCAGCTCCAGGCTTTCACAAATGATTTGTTTGACATCTGTCAAGCCACCCACATCATCCCAAGTTACTTTTGGAATCTGAAGTTGGTAACACGAAATGTTTTGAAGTGGACATTTAGAAAGAAGAAAATAATTTTGCAGTGATGTAAAATGCGAATACAAATGTACGATTCGATGAATTCAAGTTCAACGTGTACGCATCTGACCTTAGGCGCACCAACGGAATCTGCAAACGATTTATTGCGAACGTCGATGGCCCATTCGATATGTTCATTTGACAGCGTTTCTCTGGAACGAATTTGAAAACTTCAAAATAGAAATGATACAACTCAGATGATTAAAGGACATTGAAATTTTCTTTTGATCTCCTAGATCGTTTAGATTTGGACCATTGTTAATGCATCGCGAATGCTCAATTCCTCGAGATACTTTCATTCCATTGTGATGTTCTACTTCACAATTTTGAAAAAATCAATTTAACAAATTTCCCATTTTTTCCATTCTTCAATAATTTTTTTACAAATTCTTTTTCCCAGAATATTAAATTATTGAGTGGAAAAACAACTGAATTTTCAGAGATACTGAAGGACTGACGATTTTGTTTCATGCTGACGATATAAGGCGTCCGCAATAACTGTATGAAGTTCAGCGAGCACAAATCCCTGGAAATATGCACTTCGCAGTGAATTTGATGAGCAGTGGTTTTCAGTCCGGGCCTCACAGGGTTNCCAAAAGTGTTCTCTTTGGCTAATTTCTCATTCATTTCATTCAACAATTAAAGTCAAATTCTCATTCTATCGAATTCACTCCATAATTGATCATTTGACTGTCGACTGTTGTTGAGCATTAATATTCGATTGCTGTATTGTTGATTTCGGCTGTCAACACCCGTCAACGTATCCAGTAAATAGTATATGCCGCAGAATGAGAAACTGATTCGAACTATGAAATGAAATGAGACGAATTGAATGAGAAGAACTCATCAAGAGAACGTTGCTCGCATGTATTAGCTATGAGAGTGAATACAACACGTCTGGAAAGAATGAGAATCCATCAAAATCAGTTTGAAGTGAGCGTGTCATAGACATTAGCTTTTCATGCAATTACAATTATGATTTGTTCAATGTTTGTTCAAAAATCAGTTATTTCCAATGAAATTGCATTTCAGCGGATGAGATATTTCCAGTTTGATGGTGGTATTTTCGAATGAATGAGTGAGTAAATTGATTATACAACTAACACTTGTATGACGAGCGATTGTTTGAAAATCAACACAATTTTTGAATTTTTGCAATTCATTTTCGAAAACTGCATATCGATCATTTTCTCGTAAATCTTTCAACTCGATCTCATAGAGGAACAACGCTCGAAGTGAACTGCTCAGTTTCTCTGCTTTGCGACGTTCACAAACGAATACAACAGCACGAGCTCGACACTCTTGTAAGCATTCATCCAAATACGCACAAACCCGACAATCTTCAGAAGTGTATTTCATTGAACAATCCATTCATTTCGCTCTATCAACAAATCATCGCATTACCGAAATTTGACGCAGAATCCCAACAGTAAATAAAAGTTCCAAATTTTCATTTGTTTTACGGTTGGTCACCACTGATAATCAAAACATAATAACTTCATAAAATTAGGGGAAATTTTCATGATTTAAGAAAAATTCAACTGAAAAAAATTGTACCAATTTCGTCTGTGGACGGATCCAAACCAATCACATCAATATTTGTAAAGACAACTATACAATAACGACCGTAATCCGCAACTAAAAAAGGAATATTTCACTGGAATGTTCTCCTGTTGAATGCGTCACGATTCACCTAACAGTACACATTCCAAAGAATAAAAGGCACCAGGATAACGATAGGTAATTTAATGTGACTGAGATTATTGTAAACGTGAAATCATGTGGTCACATCGAGTAGATCAACTTGCACTCGTATAAAATAAGATATGTTCGAAAAGATAAACAGTTGATTGTGAGATATCGAAAGAAGCAGAAACCCCTATGGAATGNAGCTTTGAGCTTCGCTTCTGAGGTTCCAGCAACCTCACTCCAAACATTCAAACCATCCACTTCGACGATGTTCAGATTGATGACTGACGCCAAATACTTGAGCAGTAGCTTTTTGCCTGATCCAGGGGCTCCAATTAGGAGAATATTCAGGGCTTGATCTAGCGATAAATGATCGTTAGCCAAAATCATTGAATGTAAACGATTGGCTACGTCACTTAACGGTTCTGGTATGAATCTACCCGGATGTTCTACGGGAATTGGCCCGCAAACTGTGGAAACCTGAAAAGGAATTCGGTCTTGAGATCGCGTAACAAAATCATCGAAAAGGTCTGTTGTTCGACGACAAAAGAAATCGAATGGAACGAAGAATGCTCCTTCTTGAACATTTTCGATGGAACAAACGTCAAAATAATCTATTAAACCGAATATTGCGTGCATTAGGGAGATTCTAAACAGCGGATCACCTTACCTGATATAGGGCGGATTGTGATGAGCTAACTAGATATAAATGTGCCGCTATATTTTGATCGCTTTCCAGAGATACAACCTGAACAGAACATATGATTTCAAGAAATCTGTTGCAAGAAGATTCCGAAATTCCTTGTGGCATATGACAGGAGTTCAATGGTATTTTGAATCTAAGAAGCATTAACAAGCATATTCTAAGTTCATCACAAAAAAACAGCAAAGAAAAAGTTTCAGATGATGGACTAGAGATGATACAATAGTTCGATTAGAGATGACCAGACATGGTACCTTGAAAAATACACGACACTTCTCAGCTGTAAATTTGTTGACAACTTCAACAGCAAAAACATCACCAGCTGAAAGCAATCTGAAAATGGAATAAACGAACAACTACTTCAAATAAAAAACTGAGCATAGTATTTGAGGATATCAGTCGGAATCAATAACGAGTAAATTTAGCATCAGTGCAATCAACCAAGATCATCACATTCAATTTCTATTCGATCACTCCATACTAAACCGACGTTTACTTTATACTCATTTGTACTCATTTCCTGGGAATAGCATCGTAAAACAGCTATAAAAATTGCATTTGTATTCAAATGAACATCTCTTGCGAAAGTTCCCTTAACTGAAATACTTCGATCAAATTCTTTCGGATAGATCAGAACACTTTCATTCATTTATCTATCGAACGTGAATTCAGTTGTCATGAGAGAAGACTTTGTGATCACCTTGGAGTTGTGAAGAATTCTTGAAGTTCATGGCTGTAATCAGATTCTGAATAATGTGGCGACTTCAACATTGCCACTCGAGCCACATCGGCTGTGATGACTGACGAGTCTTCAATAGCACACACATCCTCAATCAAGCAAAGCATTACGTATCCTATCAACTTCCCTCTCAGAAATAATGAAATACTCTTCCGCGAACAGATCGATTTCCAACAACACGTTCCAAGATAAAATGTTATTTATTGTTATTTATTGTTTATTTAATGTTATTTATTGTTAGTTATTGTTACAATGTAGCCGACAATGGATTGCGAAAACTAACTGTCAAGAGGAAAGTATCGTTGGGTTTCGAGTATGTCGAGAACGTGTTGAAGTAACACATCTCAGACATTTGCACATCAGCAGCGCCATCCGTCAGATGGTTCCGCTGAGGTAATAATTCAACCGAAACGCATCGTTCAATGAGGTTAGCAGGCGATTTTTGGGAACGGAACGTGAATCGATACAACTTGCATGGTTGCAACGAATGAGCGAATGCCAATTTTGCACTTACAAAGACGGTTCTGTAAGACCGAAAATTACTTGCTACTGTGCATGACAATGGAACAAGTAGAAAACAATCGACAGGAGCGCGAGTAAAAGTGCTTAATCGAGACTGTAAATAATTTGGAGGGAGCGATTTTGATAAATCGTAAGCAATCCATAGAACCAGTGTAAACAATTTGTCTTATTATTAAAATTGTTAAAATATTATTAAATATTATTAAAATATTATAAAATTTAACATTAAAATACTAAATTATAAAAACAATATTATTAAATACATTAAATTATTATTATCAAAATAACAAAATTTAACGAATTAATATTCGACCAAAATTTCTGAAAATTGTGAAAATTCAAGCGGCCGTTAACTTAGTTCAAAACTGATAATAAAATTGCGTAAACTGAGACGTCAATTGAACCTGTTGATATCGACTGCATTGGTTAACACTGGTGAAGATGATGAAGAAGGAATAACAGAAGCGTGAAATTGATATGGCTTGAAAAACGTTTCGAGTATGCACTGAGATGATGGTCGCAAATAGAATACAGTGAATGGAATGATTTCGAAGCATTTGATTACATCATCGCGGGTGTATTTTCGCCCTTTTATCTTTATCATCGTTTAGAAGTCTGGAAATCATGTGTACACTGATAAGCGATTGTTTACCGCTGATAGCATCACGGCAATAGCAGGAAGTGACGAAATAAACAGCACAGCGGGTGTGAGAATGATGAAAATGACAACAATACAAAGTAATACGATAGATACTAATTTTAATTTTCTATTTAAGTGTATTTTGTCGCCCCCACTGCGATCACTATTACAGTTCTTATTATTGTCAGTATTATCGCAGTTTTCCACACCAATAATAATAATAGCGATGAAAATATTCAGCTGAATGAAATTTTATATGGGATCAGCCGGAGCCCACGTTAATATTGTCCACTGCTAATGCTTTTGATTTATAGTGTATCATTCAATCAGATGGCAGTTATTGGAAGAGTAAAATCCCTGATAGTAGACAGTAGCGACAGAAAAATGAAGAAAAAAATTTAATACGACTGAAGAACGAAACGGTTTTTTATATGTGCGAGCATAAAAAATAATCTCAACACTGCAAAATAGCAAAAAATTCGCATCTTGAAGCAGGAAATCTTATGCCAACATGCTTGTTAAATTGATAAGATGAACATTTTGAGTAGAGTTGAGAGGTAATGTTGAAAAAAAAAAGGGAAATGTTGAGGAAAAAAACGCCATATAACATATAAAGGAACGCCCTCTACTGATTGCAATATTAACAGCATCAAAAATCGAGTAAATAGAAAGGTTTATTATGGGTTAATGTCATTCAGTCTTTACGACATACACAATGGAGAAGTGTTCCAAAATTTTTGCGAAACAAATTGCTGAAATGCTTGGTGATGCTTTTCACCTGAATTATTTGCCATTCGACCTACTATTCGGCGCCTCACAATTTTTTGCTTTCGTCATGGTTATTTTGGCAGGTAAGCATCGCGGTTTCATCTTCTATTTATTATTGTGCAACTGATCACTTCTTTTGATTCATTTCGAAAAGTGAGTAAAAATTCGATGAAATTTGCTTATATAATGCGTTTCGAAGGCAATATGTGCCGTCTGTCAGCGATTTACATTATCATGGACATAGTCTTATTAATGAGATAATCCGTTTTCCAATCGTATTTTGAATGAGATAATATAGCGGATTTGGAAACTCAAAAATTTTCTGACAATGTCCAAGCTGGCAACGAGATTCCGTTTCACGAACAAACTTTCTGCTCTTCGTTTACAGGATATTACCATCAAATTGCAGACGATGGTATGAAAGGCAAATATGGAAAGTTGCATTATCATGGACTATTGATGAGCTATGGTCTGATATTCGTGCTCGGTGAAGGTATTCTATTACAAAGTATCTTTCATCAATTAATCACGTCTTCTTCAACCACACATAAAATCGAAGTGAGGCTCGAATATTGCACATGAACAAAAAATACTGCAATTTCTAACATGAATAGTTTGCTGCAAGTATAAGGAATCGTTCGTTAGTAATAATTCATATTACCGATGTTTACCAACTGTCAACGTGCAGTTTGAACGGATTCCTAAGCTGATTAATTCCACATTACTCATTGATATGGCCAATGTGAAATACGTATTGATGATGTGAAATCAACTTGGTCGATAATCAACTTAAATTGCACGTTGACAGTCAGCTAATAAGGATAGTCAACAAATAAAAAATCAGTATAATCGCACAAAATTCCATCGAGCGATCATTCCACTGATGTGATCGTAACACTAAACTCTTGGGTTATATTTGCCAACTGTCGATCTTTCTTGAGAGGACTCTCCGTAAAACGGAACAAATTCGAAGAGCGGAGTGCATGAGGTATTGTCCGAAGAAATTGAGTTCAGGTATGTTGAGCTATCGACTGTTTCGGCATGAAACAAAGATAATGTCAAAAATGGTGCATACGTTAATGCATTTGGGCACATTCGCACTTATAATCGGAGCGTTGGTGAGTATCGCTCAGTACAAAAGTGCTTATCAAATGGCACATATGTGGTCGTTCCACAGCTGGACTGGTGTTTGTCTGATTAGCGTCTATATCGTTCAGGTTCACCTTTGCTCGATTACTTGCATTACCCGGATTGGCCACATTATCAAACGGCTATCCATCAAACTTTTGCTGGATACTCACTTGAGAACATATTTCTCAAATATTCTCAAATTTTAAGCAATACAACAATTCATATGGCAGTGATTTCTGGACCATTGAGTAAACACAAAAAAAAANAAAAAAACAAATCAATTGCTTCTAAAGGCTTCTAAAAACGAGCCTTTCGTTGAAGTTCATACAATTCACTGTGAAAGTGGCGATCGTTTTCGATTGCGTCATTCGTAGGAGAAAAATTGGAGAAGAGGGATGAACGAGGACAGAAATTTTTAGTTTTTGTTCGGTGCGATAAATTTCTGGCTACCTTCAATGGAAACAGGAGAGTCGTTTTTACCAAGTCACAAACTTGTTGGTTTGACGATTTTCATCGCGAGTGTATCACAAGCACTCATCGGATATGCACAATTACCACTGATTATTCAAAACCACAGGTATGAAACCATATCATCTACGACCAACATTGAACACCATCACAAATCTTGTCCCTCGCATCTGCTCTAATCGAGATATAAAGGCTGCAAATATGATTAAGATGGATAGAAATAAGATAAAGATATACAAGGCTAAAATTTGGGGAAATCAGTTGCTGCTTTACTAACAATTCTCTGAGCTTGGCGATTTTTGCACTATAGTCTCGTCATGGCGATGAAATTCGCGTTTTTCTTGAAGCATTCTTCATTAAGTGCTTCATCATTAGGTCAAATGAGGACGATTCTTTATTAAAGACTAATAGTCATCTGTCTGACTGATCATTTATATCATTGCATCGTTCTGCGAGTGAAAATTATTTCGATTTCAGCAACTTGAATGATACGTTCACGCAGTCAAACCAATATGGCGCACAACGATTGACAACATCGTCCCTCGTGCTCAATTTCACTGTTATTTTCACGATAATTTATGCAATGTGTGTTGTCTATTTGGTGAGTGAAGACGAATGGCGAAGGCAAAAAACACCCGATGAGACAAAATAATGACAGAAGAACGAGAAGTTTCAGAACGATAACTACGCATTCGTGAATTAAGATATTGCTCGCAATGATTCCAATCATATTGTACACAATTTGGAAATTCTTTTCTGGTTGAAAATTATGTTTATTGCACATGTCACGCTTCAAAAACGTTTCTGTACGTACAAAGAGTGAGATTTGCACAAGTGTTCCAAATTCATTAACGCATACGACCCTCCCATTGCTCGCAATTAAGATCGCTCACCATTGGAAAACATGCTAATCAGATTGAGCAAACAAATTAAGTAACGAAACTGAATTCGAAAAGTGAACAAATCAGCGAATTCCATCAGCATGAACATACACGAGATATTTCATATCCGATATTGCTCATAATTATTTGCTATCATACATGTTCTTTCACCAATATGGGGTGTATACTACCCAATGAAATCAGACCCAATGTATATACTTCCCTACCAGTTCCTCAAAAAATAAGTTGAAATCGATGTATCATCAGCTAAATACTCGCGGCTTTGCAATGCGTGCGAGGATATGATCTCAACTGGATTCATTTTTGATGTCGTACTACAATTTACTTATGTTGTTCATATTTTGTTAAATTACTGCACATTTTTGTTTACACATAAACATTTTCACATTTTTTCGGTGTTGACTGATAAAATTAACCATTTTTCGAACGGGAAATTTTAGTGGTCCAAAAATCGAATACGTGAACAATCACTTATCACTTCGCTTAATTCAAAATGAGAACAACGCACAAATTCGTTCGCAGTTTGAGACCCTATCATCCAAAACTCATAAAAACGCAAGTATTAATGATTGTTAGCATTCAGTTCATCTCAACTGATATAAAGTTCCTTGCACACATGACATCAACTAGATCAGCAATAAACAAGTTTTCACAGTCCAAATCCATCTGCTTTATCATGAAATGATCATTTATCCATGTTCATAAGTTCACACGTTGCTCCTCTTCAAAAATTACATACGAGAGATTCGTGTCTACTGTACGTAAAAGTTCAAACTGGAACACGTTCGAAATCAAGCCATACCCATGAAGAGATATTACGGAAGTAAAATCAAAAATAAAGATATTANAGAAAACAATGACAGAAAAATAAAATTATTTCCAAAGATTACAAAAAAAAACACCGGCTTCCAAGTGCATAGCGATAAGCAACAACCGTAACAATAAACACACTCTGCAAAGCATCAATAGCGAACAGGTAATCAACAAAGTAAATTATACAATTACAAAAATAAGATCATAAATCAAAAAATCAACAGAGCAACAGCTGAGAACACTGAACCAACAATTATAGTATGATAATGGGGCATCCCTACCATATCACACTGTTCATAGTTATCCGAAAGCATAAATATAATGAAGAAAAACATGGAAATCTTGAAGCACAACAAATTTTAAGAGAGATCTAATGTGGACCCGATAGAACATCTATATTCTGCCTTCAAAACAAAAAACCCAGATTCCGTAACCCTAAATTTGAACATACAAAATCTTAATTTTCATCTAAGTTAATATTTACTTAATGCTCACAAAATCTTAATTACACACTCAAATGAACTTTTAGCTGATTATTCATTATAATCATCTATTAGATGCTATTTTCAGAGCAACTAAATCTCGCAATCAGGTATGAAAAAAACAATCAACACAAATAATCAGATCATAAAATATAAACACGAAATGCACACATACTGAAGAAAACTTCATTGAGTACCACTCAGAACGCTCAAATTGTCAAATCGAATGTGAGAATAAAAGTGAATTAGCAACAAAAATTGCTACGCAAGAAGAGATTCAACACAATGAGAACGAACAACAAAAGCTTCACAGGAAATGCTGATTATATTGAGTATTATGCAATGATTATATTCGTAAGCACCTTAAGCTATGCAAAAAAAGTAACAACATATATTTAATAAAAAATTAAATTACAAGGCAGAACAAATATATGAAGTCAACTCATACAACAATTTTTTTCGGAAATTTTCCAGTGTAATAACAAATGAAAGCAGAAATTCCCAGTTATTTAGATTATATTACAACAAATAATACATAGTTGTCTATTCAATATCCGAACAAATATTAATAACCATATAGAATTTCCACCGGTGTTTTGAGAAATACAACGAATTCAAAACATGAAATTAGATATATTGTAAATGAGCATTCTAAGGACACCAAGTTTTACCAAACCGTTCCCTTTCACACCAGTAAAAGTCGGCTATTTCGTGGGAATATTGAACAATCGTATTCTCAAATTACGAGCTCCCAATTACTGACATCCACACTCTCGAACTTGCATATCTTGATATCTTTTCAAGACCACGTTTTGTGAATTATCGATGAAGAGAATTTTCATTGAACGTAACGCAGACGGTGCACACTTTGCTTCAGAGGTCCTGAACATCAACAAAATTCACTCATGTCGCCTTCAGCTCATTATCACTTACTACATATAAAAATGCCCCAATTTCTCACCAGCAATGACAATAATAACACTGAAAAAGATGATGCGCTTAAGAGGATCAATTCAAGGAAACGTTCTTAATACCTGGTCGGATCGATGAGATGCACAAGTGTTTGTACGATAGCGTGATTGGTTGCGTTCATGTGATTATTCAGCGGGAATGAGCAGTAACCATCGCAATAATACGCGTGATAACCATCTGGCGCTATCACCCAATCCTGAACTCAACCGCAGTGATTGACTTGAAATAGTTTGAGTTTTGAAACCTTTACAACTCAAATGACACCCTCCAAAAAATTTGGTTTACCTGCCAATTAAGATCCTTGAAATCCACATAAAGTGTTCGCCGTCGGCATCCCTTCTTGTAAGCTGAAATTTGAGAAATTTAAACTGGAAAACAACGATCACAATGATCTCGTACGACAACATTCCATCAATAAACTCAAATATTTGCATTAAATAAATTACAAAATCATAATTTCATGCACGCAAATAAACATTCTTATGTTTTTTTTTTCACTCAGAAAGCAAGCAATGTTCGAAGATAGATAACTTTCTGACATTCACCATTAGTTACTATTCCTTTATCGTTCAGTAACTGAAGTGTATAATTGCATACCGGACTGTCTCAGTGGATCCTGTCGAGTCGAGAATCCGTAACTGTAATCGTCGAATGCCGAAGTCGCCGAGGTGCCGACTGCATCACGTTTGATTCGATCGCGAACCTGGCCATTCCGTTCCATGAACGATGCAATTGCGAAACTATGCCATACGCCATAACTGTCCAACGACTCGATGTTCCCTTAACACAAAAATGGCAAATCATAAATTTAGAACTGACTTATGAATTCTCGGTTCACGACTGGAGTCACAACGCTTAAGAGAGGGCCAGAAAATTTTGACTTGCGTTGGACGAAAAAAATTTTCGAGAAACCAGCACAAAGAGAAAGGATGAGACAAACCATATGGAGAAACGGCAAATAGAATTAGAGCTGGATCATATGCAGGGTTGTGAATCCACTGATTTAGCGCTTCGGTAATATTAAGTACAAAGTGGCCACTGCCACTGGTCAGCCATTCAGCTGAACCGATGTGTTCGGACTTCCTTGAAGCTTCATCATTAGCAAAACGAGAATATCAAGCAGTTGAAAATGTTAAAGGAAGATGGTACGGGACCATAATCAATAATCAGCAACGAATGCAATGTTCACCACGTTCAACAAAATCTAAAAACGGTTGTTTGAAATACCGATTGGACGGTATATACGCCGTCAATCTGGCCGGTTTTCTGGAGCTATTGAATGAGATTCGTAATTCGGCATGCAACAGACGACTTCCACTTGGAACGACATTCAAATCGAACGCTAATCGCGTACCAGAATCCACGTCTGGAACACCTTCTGAAATCGAACACTTCAAAATTCTGATAATTCAACTAGCCCTAGAAAATTCCAGTGAACGCTACTAACTACGCGGAAGAAACGAGACGATTGTATCCGCTTCACCGAGTTCGATTGCTTTCCGTTCGGCTGCAGAAATTGATTGGCCACTTGCAAGATACCTGAAATACTGCCACGTATATGAGAGAGACACCGAAGAATTCAAATCGAACTATATAAGGTTGATACGATAAACTATATGAGGTATATTCAGTTCTTCAAAAAAAAAAGCGAGACGCGATTCAAAAGCAATGATTAAGCTGGTGCATGAAATGAATAGAGTAAATGCAATGCCCACTTGTAAGCAGGACTCAACTCCACATTACTTTCGAGATTCCGATACAACTCAGCCATGAAACGAGATGCCAGTTCATCCTTAACACCAGCAGATGTGCGACCAGGCATCTCAATCCCAAGAAGTTCCAGAATTTTCAGTTTCAGACGAGCACCACCTTTCCTAAAACGCATCCCAACCAATTCAGCACTGCGGAATTCTTCTTACTAATCAGACAAATGTCCAACTGCATTAGCATTCAGCATGCAAATTTGATTACATGAATTACTCAAAACTTCAATGGCCCCGAGGAAAACGAGCAATGGAAATATCGATTGGTTTCGGAGAACTATTTCCTTAAAGATTCTCAACTTCAGTATATAATTTTCAGAGATCTAACACAAATAGAATACACCGAAACTTTGCAATCAGGAAGACGGACGCGAAATCGAAAACAAATAATTAGATTTTTTCAAATAATCACAAAACTTACTGATTAACAGGTAATGGGATAGATTGAGCGTTCTCGTTGTCCACATAAAATCCAGTCGGTGTGTAGGACGATGCTATTGACGCAACCCACAAGAAATGAATAAACAGTGAATAGCACAAAAATTTCATATTGGGTGTAGGCCTGAAAAGGAATGAAGATGAATTATGACGCAATGAGAATGGAATTTCGTGACTTTCGGAGAGAAAAGGAAAATCTTTCGGTGAAATCAATTGGAGCAAAACCGACGAAGTTATCGTACGGAACTGTTGAGAGGGCAATCGGAACGGAACGGACGCAGGCTAGGAAAAACAAAATTATCGATATTTATTCACAAAAGTAGCGCTGTTATGGAGCTCTGCACCAGTTTCTTTGCAGATGTGCCAATGACGAGATGCAGAAAGTGAGGGAGAAACGCGATCATAGCTGCCTTAAGGAGTCGAGCGGGACAAAAACGAGACATAGCTTAGATCGCAACCTAATCATCAGTTTGAGCCTCAACCTAATCCTAAGCTCGTCATCTTGTGAGTGTTTACTCCTTAAACTGTCTGCGTTCTACTGCTCTAAACGGACTGACACAGTTCAATCGTTTGATTGAATATAGTGAAACGCATTGAAAAATTACCATCAGCTCTAATTTACATATATCGAATTATTTGATGGCAACAAAAAAAAAACAGAAATATAATGCACATATTAGCATTCAACACTTCAACTTTTCTTCACTTTTCAATATCGCCAAGTGTTTAGTTACAATATCCTCACGAATCGTTCTGAAAAGAACCATTCGCAAAGTTCGCAAAGTACGAATGTCTGGAAACTTCTCGATACGAAATGAAAAAAATTAACCGAGCAATTGATTTATAATGTTGTTCTTCGAGTCGTATTCCAAGATCGTTGTCTTTTTCCCGGATTGATTAGATTTTTCTCATTTGCATGTGGTCAATTTATTCACACTTGTGTCGCATTATACCTGAATAATTTGCTTCTGTAAATCTGAAAATCAGCCATCTGAGATTTTCGTATGGTGAGAGTTAAGTCTCACTGGCTGAATAATTTGATTAATGCATTCGTTCCATTGGCTCATTCCTAATCATTGCGTTTCTTTCTTATTTTCCAAACGGTATGATAGTAATGCTGTCGTAGGATGTTGGAGCATATCGCATTTCCGCAGAAATTGACGAAATTGCTGCTGTTTCAATTACAACCTATGAGCAACAACTCATAGAAATGCTAAATTTCGATTGTTTTCCTTCTTGCAGATTCCTGAGGATACTGATATCTTTCGGCTTTCACATATCTGATTCTACTACATTTGATTTTAATTTTTTTAAACGTTGAAACGAAGTGAGTATCTAATGTATAGTTTACGTGTTCACCAAAGAGTAATTCCTCCGATTTTACTGTCAAATATTTACCCTTTGCAGTTACAAGTTCGACTCCGACTCCTCATCAGCAGCATCCAGTTATGGCCCAGGAGGTGATTGTTGAAGAGTCTTTTTTGAAAAACTTATGATTTCTAAGAATCATTTTTCAGAAATAATATGCTAATTTGTCTGTTAGCACGGGGTTTGTGGTATAAATGATCTGTGTATATTTTGGGGTGGATAAGGGTGTGAAATAAATGAACGACAGTTTGTGAAAGAGTTTCTTTAATAGGCTTTGAAAGAAAAAGAACTCGGCAATGCAGCCTACAAGAAGAAGGAATTCGATAATGCGTTAAGTCATTACGATAAGGCGATTGAACTGGATCCTACCAATATAACGTTCTATTCGAACAAAGCTGGTTGGTTGTTTTTGTTGTGCTCTTGATTCTGATTAATCGATTCACTATGAGAAATTTGAAAGATTGAGCGAGTGAAGATAATTTGGTGAGTCATAAGTCTTTGGTGAATTTCAGCAGTACTGTTAGAGCAACAAAAATACGAGGATTGCATTCAGCTGTGCCAGAAAGCGGTTGAAGTTGGACGTGAGCAAAGAGCCGAATACACACTTATCGCTAAGTACGCTCTTTTTCTGTAAATCTTTTCTCGTTGTTTATTCGTGGAACTCGCGAAGTGATAGAACTTTGGCCTTGGTCTTGATGGATATGATTTGCAATGGTCATTTCAGGGCGTTGACTCGTATTGGTAATGCATACTTGAAGATGGATAAATTGAACGATGCTATTTTATGGTTTGATAAATCGCTATCTGAGCATAGGGATCCGGTAAGGTTTTTCTTGTTGTTTTTTTTGTACAGTTCGTTCATGTTCGTATCGCTAGGAAGTTGACGTTTCCGATTGCACACTCTGAGCGGATTTGAATTTGAATGACCAAAAGTTGAATCTTGATCCGTGACTGTTTCTCTGAGTGCTGAGGTAGAGAAATATTTATTGAGTAAACGGTGTCGCACAGTACTTCAAATATATTGTATGTTACATTATTCATTCTGTTTATATTCTCGGACTTTGCATAATTGATTCAAAAGTGAATGAGGATTTTTTAGGAGCTAGTTAAGAAGAAGAAGCAGCTGGAGAAGGAATTAGCTGAAAAAGAGAGACTGGCCTATATTGACCCGGTTATCTCAGACAAGGAGAAAACGGTGGGCAATGAGCTTTTCAAGCGAGGTATTGCTTTTGCTTTCATGCTGATTTCAAAGCTTGAGCCAAACTGCTGAGCAGTTCTGATGTCGTGTTATCTTTGAGGCAATTATCCGGGTGCAATGAAGCACTATAACGAGGCAATCAAGCGCAATCCCGATAACGCGATTTTATACTCGAATCGTGCAGCGTGCTACACGAAACTGATGGAATTTCAGCGTGCCCTTGATGACTGTGAGACTTGTATTAAAAAGGATCCATCGTTTAGTAAGTTTTCAGTTCAATACGCTATTTTCCAGTTATGGCTAGCGTGAAATTCTTAATGTAATAATGTTGTAACTATTGATTGATCAAACATTCATAACTTTATTCACCACCTATTGCGGTGATATTTGCTACCATGCATCCAGTGATCGATTATGTTCCTGAAACACTTTATAGTAGGTGACTGTGTTTGGTTGATATGTTAGAATTTTAATTCATCTGATTATGAATGAATGGTTGATGAAATGTCTGATATGTTGAAATGTTAATATGGTAATTATGAATGCTGACATTCTTCTGAAAAAGTGTTATTATTTTCAGTCAAAGGTTATATTCGTAAGGGGGCCGCGTTGATTGCAATGAAGGAATTTGGAAAGGCGCAAGTGGCATTCGAGATGGCGCTCTCAATTGATAGTAATAATGCTGAGGCAAAAGAGGGCCTTATGAATGCGATCAGTAACAACGACGAATCGCCCGAGAAGGCTCGTGAACGCGCTTTACATGATCCGGAAGTGCAACAGATTCTTAGGTTTGTCTCAATGTTGATGATTAGAAATTTGCAGTTGGCGTTCGTTCCGACGTGGAATAGTTTGATTACTGCAATAATTTTGTGGTTTTTTGTTGCATTTAAGCAACACACGCAAATGATTCAGTTAAATTGCGTCATATAACCGTCGTTAGTAAATGATGTGCAATGCGTTGTGATGTTGGTCCGCAGAAGGGAATTGTTGGTAGTGGTGTGTTTAAGATTAATTATGGTGATTGGTTTGCAGCGATCCTGGCATGAGAGTTTTACTGGAGCAGATGTCGAACGATCCGGGCGCAGTTCGTGAACATCTCAAGAACCCGGATATCTTCAAGAAGTTGATGAAACTGCGTGAGGCTGGTATCATTCAGATGCGATAAGTGCTGAGTGGCTGGATGGATGCTTTGATGATGCACCTATCAACGCAGTCATATATTTCATCATAATCCTTGATTGTTTTGATTTGATTTCGATATCAAACGCGATCCTCAACTCTCCCGAATTTATTAATCACCGCTTTTATCCGGTTATCAATATTATCCAATTCCAACATTTCATCCTGTTTCCAGTTCTCCTCAACTTTTATATGCTTCCTGTTGCAGTGGTTCGCCTCCCTTCCTTCCCCTCTCCACGCGTTTCCCTAAACAAGCTTATGGTAGATGGACCATTCGGCACTGTTTCACTGTTTACCTAAGTATCTTTAGTGATCTTAAATTATGTTGTTGTTGTCATTGTGTTCATGATCATACGGGAGATAAGCAGTAATGCTAGAATTTGAGTCATTTCAGTGGTGATTTATTTCATTGCAATCAGAGTTTTACTTCCGAAAGTTCTCACTTTCTTATCGTATTTCATATCTCGAGCAGTTGACTTATTGGGTGATTTATTGATGGTTGTTGTTGTTGTTGTCGTTGTTCGAATGCTTGGTGTGGATGGAATTGGTCATTAAAGTTATTGTTCTTAGAAATTTGTGACAAATTTAAGAATTGGGGACTGTTGGATTGAGGTGGAAAGACTGTAATTTATTTATGATTGTTATTTATTGGGATTGATTTTTCCGGTGTTTTTTTTTNGGGGGTCGGGATGTTGTTGACTTAACTAATTTGAATATGGTTACCAGTCCGATATAGCGATTAAGAAAGTGAATGAAATGAACGAATTTACGGCGGCTGCCTGGGGTAATTTTCTCAAAAGTATCATTAAGAATTGTCGCTTGGATCGTCCATATGAAAGGTCTTATTTTAATTTTTTTCTTAGAAACGAATGTGCAAGTGTGTTTTATCCGTGTGAATTTATCGTTATCAACATCGCCGATGTGTAAGATTTTTGTGGTACTTATTAAGATAATATCGTCAGCAAATAAATGCAAAATTCCGTTATGACAATATTGTCTTATACGATTGCTGTGAACACAATTTGAAGAGGCTCGATTAATTGCGAAGAAAGATTCTTTTACAAATAAAAGTGAAGTTCATAGAAAATGAACATTTCGATCGTTGGGATAGGCATCGTTCGGGATTGAATTGTACATGAAAATGCTGCTCTTGATAAGTTGATAACTGGCCACAGAGGGACCGTTCACATTTTATTGAACTGCACAAAATTAAATGAAACAAGTGAATTTGTTCGACGATGATCGATCGCCAAGCTTTCGAAGCGTTTCGAATGAAGTGAAGAGTGAGCGTGGTGTGGCAGACAGCAGAAATTGAACGCGTAGTCGTTCCAGGGTGTCTTTTAGTGATTCTGAATTGCTGACGAACGCACGTAACTGAAACAACTCAAAAACTACACCAAATAATTTGTACTGGCTGATGTATCTAATCACTTTTATGATCGTGAATCCAACAACTGAAACTGGAATTTCTTTAAGATGGATCATACCCTATTCTGATATCGTTAGCTATTCGGAAAGAAGAATGCTAAGGAAGACTATCGGGATAATGGCGATAAAAGAGATATAAAGCAGTGATGAATTGTGATCATTGATTAACTCAATAAAATAAATGAATAAACAGATGAATACCTGAAGCAAATTTCAGGAGAAAACGGATTNTAGTTGTTAAAATGAAGATTCATTATGAAATAGGTTGGAATATTTGCAGTTATTTCGTATTCTTAATTACTTATTCTCGTGAGATTTTCACGATAATCACACGAAATTGAGTGGAATTCACGAGTCGGTTGCTGCACTAATCCAGAGGAAAACATACGATCAGGCTTATGTTAGGCTTACCAATCGATTGACATCCCGAGAGCGTTGTGAGTCAATCCAAATCTTAGCATCAAATTCACTATCGAATTCCTGATTCGCATCCACCCAAAATCGAAATTCCAAAATATTTTTTGCATCACTCAATGAACTCGACTTTTCGTCATTTAACAATTCGGCACATTTCTGAAAACGTAAAGACGCCTGATTCCGTGGAAATTGGATGATGAACTGAACCCAACCAAGCACATCATTCAGTTCTCTCTATATTTCTCCATCACTTATATTAAACCTTTTTCTGATGGTGAGAGACTTATTTTATATTTATCAACAACACAGATTACACGTTCAAATGACTCTAAAGGTGACTGACTCTAAAGATCAAATTCATTGCTAAGCAGATATGAATGCTACGAAAATATCAAAAATAATCTACCAAAAGAGCATCAGAATATTGAGAACGATATGGGATTAATGGAACGGTGTTGTCCATCTTCTGATGGAGTAGAGTGCACAGCGCACGTACGGCATATTTGCATACACCAACACTCCCGTTTTCGTTCGACTCTTCCAAATCGTCGCTGACTGTTTCCTGCGAATAGAAAGTCTCTTGATCGCTCAGAAACGACTTGATGCATTATTGTGAGTTTGATATATCATCATAAGACGAACGAATCATAGATTTTAAATGCTCAAAATGAAAGATTCACATACTCGAAGTAGCATAATTCGAGGATATTCAGCGATACCCATTGGCGAATTGAAGTACGTCGACCTGAAATACGATTTCAGAATCAACCGCGTTGTGCCTGACGACGATGAGCTATCGAAATCAACTGAATCTAGAGGAATGGATCGTTTCAGCGAGTGCGGAATTAAAATGCTTTGAAATGTACCGATAGGCGAGAAGGAACTCTCGGAAGTTATTGCTCAAATGTTCGACACCATCGGACTGCAGCGATTTCAACGCACAAACCAGTTGCAACATTATGAAACAAACGTGTCGTTCGTATGCCTCTGCACTCATTCGCTGAAATTTTAATTGAGTAATCTGTAAGGGAATTTATTGGAATTGTTTCGAAGATTTAATTTCTACTCATCTATAGCTTAAAGATTGAAAACAACACCGTTTTGAGTGCAAATAGAGAACCTTATCGAAACTGTGTGCAGCCAACGAGTGGAAAGAGAGTAGTGTAAGACGAGGCATCACGAACGCTTTACAGGTTCGGCCGGATAAATGCGACGAATCTTGTAGAAAACGTCGAATCTGAAACAACGCATCTGAAGTTCTGCATGAGCGCTTTGAAGAAATGAAGAAGAAATCGCATCGTATGATGTCCTGGAGTCTATGTTGAAGGAGCACTTGAATTGCATACTTTCTGAATGTCGCCTTATTCCTTTCCAATGAATATTCCAATTTTAAACCTCATTTCGACAATTCTCAATTTACGCCTTTTTGCAAAAATCACATCTTGATTTGCAATTTGCGTTCTTAATTTAATTTAATTCAATTTAATCAATTTATGCGTTTTTGAAAATGGATCTCCGATAATAACTTAAAAAAANAAAAAAATACTTCGCCATCATTGTCGTCGATTTCGACCAGCACAGGTGGATTATACAATATCGCTTCTGGAGGTTTTCTGCCTAGTGACAGAGGATAGTACTGCGAAGCAGGCGCCACCTTAAAAGTGCAGTCATTAAAGTCTCCAATTAAACATCTTTGCAACACATGAAATTCCACTTCGATCCAAAATGGTACTAATCGCCTGGTTGAAGACAGTCGAAACATAAAAAAGCACATTTTGAGCTGCTCATTAAGAATGTCATAAAATTTCACAATACAGCCTAAAAAATTCTCGTTCTATATTAATTGTTTTACCAGGGAAATATTCCAACATCTGCATTTCGTAAACGTTTCTCTATGAAAATTGTTATATGGTAAAAATCATGAATCAAATAGATGACGAAATGAACGTCAAGAGAACCAAAAAAGGAGCTCGAAACCAACCATGAGCGTGATGTCGTATGGTGGTTGAGAGCCTTCTGCAATGGATGCGTCGAAAAACAACGATGCACCTTTGATGAGGGTTGGCGTGTATGAATCGAAAATTATTTCGTTGAATTTCAAACTGAAAGCCCAACAGAATTTAAGATCATTATTTACGGATTGATCGCACATGAGTTTGGCTGTTCGTTACGCAGATTATCGACGAGTGCAACGGATCTGAGCTGACAGTGCTTTCCGTTGCAAAAATTTGAATTTTCGTCCAAGTCACATGAAATTGAATCATAGCAAATCAAACACCTGTCAAGTTTCTCTTTCGACAAAGGAACATCTCGACAACGAATATAATCGGCCAAATGCTCGGATATGTACGCGAGAGACTCACGATGGTTCAATGTCATCTAAAATTTCAGCTGATTGCTCGATCTGTCATTTCAGACTGAAGGCGATTGCTGGACGAACTTGTGAATAATGTCCAATTTTTTAAAGGATCAATGAAAAAGGTAATCAATACAGGCTTGAGAATTTATTGTATAGAAACATCACCTCATGTAATTACTGTTACTCGAATCTCAAGAAGATTCCCCGTCAGAAAGTTTTACTATTTATATGGCATCAATTCCCTGACTGATCTCGATCGCCTCATCATTAGGTGAGCTTGGTTATCACTGACTCAGCACTTACAACTGATTAGGGATTGGATGAGGTGATAATGATTTGCGATAGAAATAAACCTGATTGTAAGCGTGATCGATTGATTTTGCTCGTTGATTAGTGACGGGTGTTGGAGGCATATATGAGGAAGGTGTGAGCACACTGGATGCGCGGGACATCGATGATGGGGTGCACGGAACGGGAGATTCAGCAGATACGTTCTCATCAGTTATTGGGATCGAAACTGTTAGCGAGGACCGACCTGATTCTGAAGCGAGAGCGGTCTCAACAAGAACGCTTAAAATATCAATTATATGGAAAAGTAGTTTGTGAGACTGACGAAGAACTATAATCATATGTGTATTTTCAATTAAGTCTGCAGCTGGAGGGTGCTGGTGGTTTTTCGGAGATTGCATTTTGAAAGTAAAGTTGATTGCGACTCGTGGCTGTCCAAAGGCGTTATTTCAATCATTCTTTCCAGAGAGCGATCTCAAAACTTCGGATCATCGAAAGGGCTCGAAAATGAGGATAAAAATTACTGAGTTTATANGATCAGAGAAACTGCAATCGAATTAGTGCGAAAATATCGCAGCGTTAAGAAAACGAATGATGAAAACAAACTTCGATCAAACTTAGAAACGGTGGATGATGAGTCACCGCTGTGTTGAAGATCTGAATGCGATTGCGGTCTTGTTTTTGGGATTAAACGTCCGAATCGATCTCGAAGTTTCGTGGAGTCATTACCTTTTAACGAGTCATTCGAAAAACGGCGTATCAAATCTTGGCATTTCATTTTCTGAAATTCAAGTTCTGCTGAAGTATCACTCCACTACCGAGAAATCCAATGAATTGCTTGGACAGTTCATTCAGCGGCTAACTCCCATTCAGAACCCATCGAATCATACAGAATTTAAGTCCAGTGTTTTTGTTATTCTCAGTTGCTTTAAAAGTGGCTTTTGTTCAAGAGAGGATCATATTTTTCGCAGCCCTTCGCCAAGACGATTTCTAATTCAAAGAGTGTTCCTTTTCAACAGAACAAATTATATTCGTTTTGAAGAGTTCAAAAGATGTCTTCAATCAAAAGACTGAAGAGATCAAAGCAGTAAAAGTTGTATAGGTGAATAAAGCGTTTAGATGGTAACTCGAGGTCGCATTCAGTATAATGTGATCAATACCATAATTCTACGAGTAAATTAATACGCTTTCGATCTTTTCAGAATGAGTACCGCTTCAGTTGACGGATGGAAGCATTCGTCAGAATACGTTCTGATATTTTTCATTCTGTGTGTTTTGCAATTACCTTTGGGGTGAAATATGTGCTACTTTTAGTGTTCTCTTGATGAATTGGTATATTCCTCGATTGCACGATCGGCGATGGAACAGATTGTTCGGACATGATCGGAGCTGGCGGAATGTCGTCGATGTCCGTTTCTTTCACTTGNGTAATGGTGAACGGAGTTGATGCGCTCTGGAACTAAATATAAATACGAAAAAAAATTTAACAGGTCATTTTTTGGCAACAAAATATCACTGAAGATTATTGTGCATTTGCAAGCAGCGCTTGTTTATGTTATGACGTTTTCTTATTTACTCGTCCGATCGCACTGCATATGAGACGATGCACGTGGTTTATTTGGTTTGGTTGTTGAAACCGAATCACTTCTGCTAAATCACCTCTGCATATCAGGATTTCGAGATTCTAGTGAATCTTTCTTCATTTATCGATTATCAATAATCAATCCCATTTCCTGGCTATTATTGTGATTTAAAAGCGACGTGGGAACTAGTTTTGTTAATCCCTCAACGCATTTAGTGGAGTGACACAGTGCCATTTCTTACTATGTTATATCATTGACTCTCTCGTTATAAATCTCACTCTTGAGATAAGTTGTTGAGAAAACAATGCGATAGCAGGAGTATCTGTAATGTCCGGTTTTTCAGCGATATTTATTTGTGATATCATCGATCAAGTGCATATTCTTGCAACTATTGGAGATCACCTCGAATTTTTGACGCTGGAGATGATATTCCAATGGTGCGGTGGTCGTGGTTTGCTGTAAAGTGAATGTGTCGACAGTTATACGACGGTTCGGATCCCGAGAACGCAACGAACGAAATTGGCTTTGTTCACGCATTACTTGTTGATCACTCGCGCTCTGAAACCAAAAATATCCTCAAAATTATCAGCACAGGACTCGTCTTTTTCTTTTTGGAGTGTGGGACACAAAATAACAGTGTGAGAGAATCACTTGCACAGAAATGAATAAAACTTCCTCAAAAGTATTTCCGGCTGAGGAACTAAAATTAGGCTAAAAACGATTTATTCATAGGAACATAGGCAATCCACCACTTAGAGGACACACCAATTATCTTGTGGTATTATTTCCGTAGTATATGAATCATCGCAGTGTGAAGTAAGAAGACACAGAACAAGTGAAATAACAAGGCGGACTTTCAACTCGAAACTAACTTGGAAACGATCGAGAATCTGTCTGAAATTATACGCTCTTGGTACAGCTTCCTTTCGAGTGGACACTCTCGACGAATCTCCACGTTTTTCGTCGTCACTGAATGTTTCAGCACTGTTAAATTACAAATGATTTTGTTTTACTCGATTGCATCACGAGACACAACGAATATTTTCAGAGAGAGGTTCTCATTCAGCAAATTTTTTGCTGCCATCATTATTCAGTCATTGAGAGAAAATTTCATGCGCAATTACAATAACTAGCTCTTAAATTTTCCAAATCATAGGCTTTTTGATGCGCAATTTATGGCTATTTCAATGAGATTTTTTAATCTTCCGTATAGAACGTCTGCTCCACAGTCAAATAGCGAAATGATTGATTGGGGCAATCAAAATGGATAATTGGTTTGGGATTGGTCAACGCTTGACGAAACGATCAAAATCGCTCGGTTGAGAATTTAATTCAAGTGAAATATCAATTGACTTCCTGAGAATAATGAAAAAGCGCTGACGAATGAATTAACTCGAAAATAAACACTTATGATTGAATGTGAACACAAATTTCAGAATCCATAAAATGGCAATAAAAACGATCAAAGAAATGAAATTAAGTGAACTTTATGGGTGCTTAGAACTGAAAAACAATAGAAGGAAGTGATCTTCAGGTGCGAAAAAACGTTCAGAGGGAACACAGGAAAGAATTGGAAATTATTTGGGAGTAAGTGTTAAAAAGTGACTCATTCACGAGCTTATATAAGTAAAAAACATTCGAACGCAGCCCTAAATCGAAAGTCAAACTTTTCCAAACGAATAAACAAGATTATGAAGAATCAGAGCTGAATGATGGCCATTGAGATATTTCTTGTGACATCTTCAAAAGTGACGAATGTTTTCATCCGCAATTCATTTGTTTGTTCACCTTACATTCTACCTCTCTCAGTGCATATTATTACTTTGCGTAGTGTAACATTCTTGAATGAGAATTTTATCTTGAAACTTTATTTGCGTATTGAGTGTTGCTCACTTTTCTGGGAGAGCAATCAAATAACGGAGTATTACGACCTGAACAAAATGCATAGTGTTTCTGCACATTGCCGATGTAATTTAGCGTTTTTTTTNTTTTTTTTCAGCCATAAATTAATATTAAATCCTAAAGGTAATAAAATTAATCCTGAACCAATTCAATAATGTGATTTCTATTAACTCCAGATGTTCGCGATGAGATTCAAAATTACTCCACTAATTGTAATTGTACGATTAAGGAGGATCTGAACTACGATCTAAACGCACCACGTCAACGATCTTCAACGATTTCCAAGTACTTCAATGTTGATAGATTAGTGGGATCATTTGACTGGCCTATATACTTATAGGTATTATACTTGAATGTATGGTTTTTGAATTCAAGTCATCTAGGCCCATCAACATTGCTCAAATACCTCTTTTTGATTAATCTGCCTTGAAGATGAATTCATTGCTCGCAATGTTTACCTCGGTGAAGAGGGTGAAGACGATCGTTGCGCACTGCTACTTCGCTCCTTGTTTTTGGCTCTGATCCGTCGGTAAATGTTTGACTGCACTCGGTCTTGCTGAATTAATCCGAGAATGAACGTTTTTATGCGATCAGTGAACCGATCAAATCAATTTGATTGACTCAATGCTGACCAATAATAGAGATTGATGACATTTGCTAATCGTAAGCAACTTTTGCTTCATCAGCAAGAAGTTTTCCGATGATCTTCAGAGAGTTTAGCAGTGTCAGCGAACCTTAGGGCTCGGATCCTCAACTTGAATTGTCGGAACATTATCGGGTGTAACCGGTTCACTGATACAGCTGACGGGCTTGAAATATTGCGGTCTTGGTTTCAGGAGTAAAATATTGTTCGTGAATGTTTTACATCTCCTCAGCGCATACGAATCCTCGTTTCCTTGTTGGCCTCTTGAGCTGGTGCCTGAAAATCATTTAATCAACATCTAAATGCGTCCATTACAGTTTTTTGTTAACAATGTGAACTCGGGAATCACTTCTGTCCAGCGGAACCTACAGCACCATAAGAAGAACGATTACGTTATCTCATCAACCATTGGTTTCCCATTCTTAGAGCATTTGCAAGGGTATTAAAAGAGAAATTATTTTGGTTGATTGATCAGAATGATTATCGAAGAATAAAGTTTTATCCATGTTGAGTGATAAGCTAAGCACGATATAACACCTATACTCAAGGCAGTATTACTCCAGTGTTCATGAACATAATACAGATATGATGCATCCAATTTAACATTCAACATTATTAACCAATCGTTTGATATTTGTAAGTGAATAAGAGTTCATATCCGATGAAGTAACAGTTATGAATATAAAAGTTTAGAGGACTGACTTCGTTGATGAGTGATCAAATTTTGTGCGGGTGTCGCGCTGTGTGTACTCGTGGAAGTGGATGAAAATGTGGACTCAGCCGAAGAACTCTTCGAGTATTGACTGAAAGCTGATGTTTCGGATTGCGCAAATGTTGTCGTGATTTTGTGTTGTTGGATCGGTGGTGACACCAACGCATTCGTTCTAGAATCGAAACTCGAAATCAGTTCAAATCAAAGTGCTTCTTACTCTTAACACTGCTTTGAACAACTTGAGTTTGATATGATAAAACATAAATCAGCGCTTCAGTAGTTTCTAAGTCGAAAATTCGTTTGCTCATTCTTGAACGGAAACAAACTACACAGCAGACAAACGGGAATACATTTGGAAGCAGCCTAGTTTTCAGTGAAGAATCACAGATCATATGACATCAGATTTTGATGCTGGATCAGATTTGTTATGCTTGAATTGACTGATTATGAGAGTCGCAGTAACTCACTTCAGAGAACACTGAATTGTGGATAGGATTCTTGCTTTTGACTGATCAATCAACATCATAGGGTCCTCTTTTATTCGAGTGGACATCGATGTTTTATGTTTTGAAAGAATTTGAAATGGTGTTGAAATGAATTTCTGCACTAACAAAGCCGCATTTTTAGGATTTCATGACTGAGGTGGGATGGAATATTCTGACCAAAGAAAGTATCAACTGACCGTGACGAGAGATATGAACTCAGAAAAGAATTGGTTGGTAGTGAAGAGCTGCTGCTGCTGGTGACGAATTGAGATTGAGGTTTCATAATCGGTGATATCCGCGCAGTTCGAGGTAGTTCAGCAGCCGAGACGAACACGGGGCGGATCGCTCCAGGACGACAGCTTTGATGAGAAGAAGAGAAAGGAACCGGAGCCGGGGTTATCATTGTGGAATGGGAGTGGTCGTAAACGGGATAACGACATACTCCACAGATTTGACTGTCTTTGACTTGCGGTACAAACAACATACAAGCCTGTTTCATGACCTTAGTGCTTCGAAAACCTCACAAGTAAACACTTAAAAGCGATTGGGTCGAAATTCAGCACTCGTTTCGCATAGCTCGCATTCTGCTGAGTCGTATACGTTTTCGTTTTAGGAGCGATCCTTAAAAATCGAGGAAATTATCTTCGTTTCATCATTTCCAAATAAATAACTGAATATTTGGATGGTGCGGTCGCGAGCTGGTATATTTCACATTAAAACAGTAAATACGTCGAGACTTTACAGCACATCAGGAACGAAAACATCAAACAATTAGGTGGTTCAAGGCTGTTGCCACGGTTGACGCATTACGGTTGTTGAAGTCAAGAAAGCGAATTGCCTTCGTTTCATCATCTCCAAAAAAGAAATAAGTGAATATTTGGATGGTGCGGCCGCGAGAAAGCAAATGAATGTTCCATTGAGCGATTGGCAACAAAGCGATTGAAATGATCCTAATCGTAACGATGATGGAACGGCTGTCGTCAGCGATTGTGAGCGGTGAGCACGAGTGCGTTTTTTTTTTCAGTGTTTCGAACAAAACTTTCCGCTGTTCAATTTCCCACTTCAGTGGAGAGTAACGGAGTTATTTACAATAGTGATGGCATCCGGATGAAATTTCATTTCAATCGGGATCCGAGCGAATCGACTTTTCAACATCCCGAAATTCGGTATTCTAAACGAAATTCGAAACTACTCGGTCGGAATCCNACCAAACTAACATTTTGGGAGTCCGAAATTCGGCCTTCTGACCGAACTTCAAAATTCCTGGGTCAGAATCCGAATCTCGGAATTCCGACTGAAATTTGTTGGATTTTATCAATCGGGTTCCATCGGTAACCTACTATCACTAATTCGGAGTGATCACCATCAGAGATCGTTACAAAATGGAATGCAGCAACCAAACACATCACGAATTATGAGAAATTATTTCGAATCAATCAACTTGTCGAAACTAAAATGCTCACAAACAATTCGATAGGGGAGATTTGGGGTTGGCGAGAAGGAAGGAACGGGGGATGGGATGGAAGTTATGGAAGTGAACGAAAGACAGCACTTAGAAGAAAATTTCTTAATAATTGTAATGAAAACCGCCGAAAGAAAACTTCTTTTCTCGTTGATCGTTTCAGTTGTTGTCGTTATATGTTTAAAATGCAAAAAGCGTGAATCGAAAAAATATTCATGGTTGTTTGCATTTAAAAACAACAAATGTCAAATGTAACGTTTTTGTTATTGTTGACATTTCATAAGTAAGATTGAATAGATCTAGATTCACACTCAAAAAAATAATTATGGACGTATTGGATTGACAGCTTTTGCAAAAAAACAAATCGAATATATAAAAGAAAAGTGAAGCGAGACGAGGCAATATTCATCCACTTGAGAAAGCGTTTGAACACAACTCGTATATCTATATCTCCTGTTAACTCGTCGTCGTATATCTCCTCTGCTCAACCATCGAATCGCCGCAATATGTTTGTTTTACACGTAACGTAGCATTCGAAGTGCTGTTCGAATTGAGATATATTTTATAAAAATGAGCATTAACAGCATCAAGCAGTGTTGTGCATGTTCACTCGCTCTCCCACCTCCATCGCCCGATATATGCAAATCGCTTTACAAAGATTTGTTTACAACGAAGGTTGATATTATATTATTATACATTCATTTACTATCCGATATTATGGCAGATTTATATTTTTAATCAAGCATTCATTTATACCGACTATTCAATCTGTTATATTCGCATTCGAATCATATAAATATCATACTAATAGCATAATCCGCAATGGCGTAGCTGTTGTAATCGATCGTACATGAGAGAATTGGGTGTAGATGGAGAGAGGAGAAAATCCGAGGTTCGAGATCGACTTGAAACCAGATTGAATAGTTAGTTAACGAGTGCTGGATTTCAATTTCTCATAAAAGTGAGTGTTTGAAGATTATAACTGCCTGAATACAACAGAAATTGTTTTAGCCCAAACCAAATTTGAATTGATAGAACTTTACTAGGTAATAGCAAAATTCCGCATCAATTAGTGGGTTGGTGCAAAACGTCGGTCCCAATACTTGATTACCATATCTTCAAAAACCGTCATAAATAAACGATAGCGGAATAAATGCACGTAACAGAATAAATCATAAGAAAGTAATCATGAATGATCACTGAAGCATTGCACAACGGCCAGTGCTCATTTGAAGGTTGTTGAGGTGTTCAAGAAATTGAATTCGCTGCTCGAATCCAACGGTAAAACGGAGAAATGAAAACGGATGTCGCTAACAAGAAATGAACGAAGACAAACTTGTTGCATGCAATTTGTATGCAATTATCAATTATCATTCATATCAAAATGGCTGTTTGATATGTTAAAGTGAACAGTTCCGTGTACAGATTGATTAAATAGTACATTGTGAATTGCTTTTTTTTNTTTTTTTTGCGCAAGAAGAATTAGGTGCAATCCATCAAATGTCAACAATTATTAGCATTTGCGCCGTCATAATTGCTGAACCCTTTCAATCGTTCCTATACCCATTCAAGTTGCTCCTCTGAGCATCGTTCGAAGACGGTTAAATAAAAAATGGCCATATAAAGAAATATCACATTAACAGTTACACTTTCCACATTGATATAACATTAATAAGAAAGTATCGTTAATAGTAGTAGTAACAACAGAACAAAAATACCGATTATGGTAATAAGAGCGTTATGGAAAGCATGAACAATATTGACGGTAACGTCATGATAGATATATGTTATACATGTTTGATAGATATATGATCATGATACCTTTGTTAGCTGGAAGTTAAACTTCCTGTTGAGTCCAAATTTTTGAAATTCTCAGCATCTGCTTTAAGACAATCAGTATTACAAAGAGACACTTTGCAATGTATGCATATTATATTGAGAACAATGGCTGGCACAGTATAAACTGGGCGAATGCATAGTCAGAAACTAAAGTTGGTATAGATACGTATTGTATTGCACAGGTGTATTTGAAAATTTAGACACAGCAGAATGGCAAAACAATAAATATGATTTATATCTAAATTGTTCGTTGTGTGATATTATTCACTCGTTTAAAGTGTATTAGCGAAATGCGATTGAATAAATGCATAAAATAAACACTGAAATATTGAAATGAACCGAAAAAATGTGTCAGTTGAGGGTTCTGTCAATAAAATATCGGACAATTCGGTAAACAGTGAAATTGTAAGTAAGTGGTAAACTGCATTAGTGATGTTTAATATCGACTCAATGCTGTGCGGCATAACCACAATCCGATGTCATTGTGAAAACAGAGAGACTTCATGCCAACTTCCAGTGCGAATTATGATCGATTGGCTCAATTTGGCAGTTGGGAATTTATCACAATAATAAAAACATTTGTGATAAACGACGAGAGGTTGGCGTTGTCAGCAAGGGCTCTCAGACATTGATGTTGAAACGGATTCCAGACAAAGACTAATGAAGGCCAAAGCCGAGAGAACGATAAGTCATAATCCAAAAATCCCGAACCGAGAATCTTCAGATTCCCATTATAACCAATTTTAACCATCAAATCAGATCACTATTACCGTTAAATTCAACAGTTAATGATAAAATGAAATTTTTCAAGCGTGTTGGAACAAGTTGGAAAAAGAAAAATTCCGCCTGACGCGACTTTGATGGATGAACGGCAGCCGAATGACGCTCAGTGAGGAGTGAATATCGAGTTGAAATTGACAAGTAATCTAATTCGATCATTATGTTCATAATGATCTTAAAATGCATTGCTGAATGATGAGATTAAAACTAGTATTTGCTCAGTGGAATATGTATTCGTTTGAGTAATGATTGCGTTGAGATTACTAAAACAAAAGAAATATCGAATGAAACGACTAACCGACTGGTTTGTATTGATTTTTGTTAAATTTGGTAAGATATCTCAAAAAGATTTTATACTAAATTATGACCATTCACAGTGGATCGCATCAAATGTGGATTAGGTTCGCGTGTTAAAATGACCAGTAGGTAGAAGAACGAGAATTTGCATTGTTACAGACGTTAGAACAATTGTCATTGTCTCATTATCACCACTATTATTGCACGTGTGACACAATACTTTCGTCACAATAGCAGCTCAAGAAGGAATGGCTCAAAATTGTGAGCATTTGAGTAAATTGATATGATTTATCGTCAGTTCTGAATCTAATCAGCTAACTAAATAGCAACGATGAAGAGACGATTGCACAATATTCAAAACGTTCACAATACTTATTGATAATAATCGATCAAACGAGTTGTCAAATTGTCAGAAGTTGAATCTTCAGAGAATAAGTTAACGAGAATAAATTTGAGTTGAGTCGTCAGAGGAAATCATAGTATTTTATTTATTATGATATAAGCAACTCATACATGGTGGTGAATAGTAGAAGGTTGTGTAGGACGAGATTTTAATAAAACCAAAAAAAATCTGATAAAACTGAGTAAGAACGAAAATGAAAAGCTATGAAAATTTTGAAGAGCAAGGTAGAACAGAGAGATTTGGATATACTGAGGGATGACTGGGTTAAGATCGTCATGGAGCAAGGAGAGATATGGAGAGATTTCGAGTGCAGAATGAGCATAAAAAGGGACATAAGATGATAGATATTGGATGTGACGGCATCAGGCTGGAATAAGTCAAATCTCTGATGTTACATCATGTGGGATGGATATATGCACTATTACTACTGCTTCCTATTCCCATTAAACAAACAATATGGTTGACAAAATATACGCTAAATCAAATAAATTTTTTGTTTGAATGAGATGAGTATGTTCATAACATAATATACGAAGTAATTACACACAGCAATAAACAGAAAAATTCTCCTAAATACATATGAATGGATGGGTAAACATTTGCATTTGCACATACATAATAAACTCGGCCAAGTACATTTTCATGCGAGTTTTACATAGTTTTATATGAACTCGACTCGTTGTTTTTTTTTAATTTCAGCTGCGCTTGTGCATTTTCG